AGTACCTTAGGGACAATAAGATTTGACATATAGCATGTAAACGTACACAGCAGCTGTTAGTTTAGTTTTGTTTGGATAAAAATACACTGATATACATCAAGCAACACAGGAAACGGTATGTTCTCCATCATTCAATCTTCCCTGCAGACCATGCTTTTGAATGGTGTCTGGTGGTTGCTGTGGGACCAGGAGCTTTCCAACTATCACCTAAAGCTGCATAAGGAGCATTAAAATACACACATACCTTGGCACTAGCTCATACTCCCTGCAGGCATACTTCCTGGACTGGGAAACAGTCACATCTTAGTATCTTTTAAGAACTTAACTTTGTTTTGACCAAAGAAGACTTTTAAAATCAACTTCAACAAAAACAACAACCAAAACAAAACAAAACAAAACAAATGCCAATGAATTAGTGGGAAATTTCCAAATATCTTGGTGTATTTCTAATGATATCTTGTTAGCAATAGCCAAGTATTTTAGATGCTGAGATCTGCAACTTGCTGCCAAAGAGTATATAGAAATTTCTTTATAGGTAACTATGCCCCTGGCAGTGTGCTCTTCTTTCATAGTCTCATGTACTCTGACTGAAATGTGAAAATTACAATATGTAAACTATGGTTATGGGTATTTAATTGGCATGACTTTTAATTTTTTATTGTAAGCAAGTTATTAAAGACTTTGATTATTCCCTGTGCTTCTCGAAATGTTATTAATAAAAAATCCTGATCTTTTTAGCTTTCCTCATTGGATTGAAATGCAGTATGTAAGGTGGCACTTTCAATGTAGGATGTTGCTTTTGTAGAGGGATATATATTCCCTAGGTATAGATCATGACAGAATATTCCAATCTAAATCTGGTAGACAAATTTGATTAGCTTTGTGGTTTCTCTTTGGAGAGATTTTTGGTTCCTTATTGTGTACTGTTTCCATCATGTATTCAAGTAAGTAAAGCTTCTATTTTTTTGTTTTTTTTGAGATGGGGCTTTGCTCTTGTTGCCTAGGCTGGAGTGCATTGGTACAATCTTGGCTCACTGCAACCTCCACCTCCCAGGTTCAAGCACTTCTCCTGCCTCAGCCTCCCGAGTAGCTGGGATTACAGGCATGTGCCACCATGCCCAGCTAATTTTATATTTTTAGTAGAAATGGGGTTTCTCCATGTTGGTCAGGTTGGTCTCAAAGTCCCGACCTCAGGTGATTCACCCACCTCGGCTTTCCAAAGTGCTGGGATTACAGGTGTGAGCCACCATGTCTGGCCAGTTCAAGCTTCATATCAGTGATAAAATAGTTTTAATATAAGATCTTATTCAAGGCTGAACAGTTTATTTTCTTATCTAGCATTTGAACTCATTTTTAAGGTTCTTAGAAGAAATTACCTTTTTTATTTAAAATAGTTATTTTGACCTTAATCTAACATTATTGCTGTCATTTAAATTTATTATGTGCCCTTTCCTATAAAAGCATGATTTATGACAAGGTAGGATAAAGTACATAAGGGTTTTCCAATGACTTTTAAAAAATACCCATCTCTGGCTTTCTCCTATCTAATGCTTCCTTCCCAAATCTTCTTTCTTTTTATATTGATTTTCTTCCTTACTCTTCATAATCATAAGGAAAATTAAAATAAAAACAATTTCACATCTTAATTGTGCTTTGAAATTTTGGTATTTTTTTTTTATCAAATTTGGATCAAATTTTTTTAGGTTATAGAAAGTTACAGTTTCTAAATGATTGTGATAGTCATAGTCATGGTCTTAAAACTTACCCAGAAGACTGTCCACTTATTGAAATGATTGGATTAATTTTCATTTTGCCCTGTAGTCATAACTTGAGATGAAACAAAAGGAATAAAAAGTAATCATCCACATAGCTTTTCACCGTTCCAGGGGTGGAAATGACACCAATGAAATGATTCCATTTGATTGATGTATGCATAATTGCTAAATTTAAGGGATGATTAACTTCGAAACTATTTAATATGAAATGTTGAGGGCTAGCTTAATGAAAATATAGAAAAGTTCTTACCACAATCATGCAAACAGGAGAAATTAGGTAGAACATCTGTAGTAAAGGGCTTTCACATGAGAAGAAATGTGTATGTATATTTATGCACACAAATATTAAAAGACAATAGGATGACCTTCTTAAGTGAGGCAATATTTCTACATAGTAGTTTGAAGACAGCGAAGCACATGATTGGAAGGACAAAAACACAAGGGAGAAAGAAAACTCTACATAAAAGTGAAGAATTAACCATTGGTTAAAAGCACTTATGAGCTATGATTTGATGTAGAATATTAGGAATATCCACTGAAACACTTACATAAATAATTCACATCCATGTTAAAATCTACAGTTGAGGTTGAAAAGTCAAACGACTTCTTTTTTTTTAATCAAGTATTCAATAATATTTTAAACTACATTTTAGGCCAAGGCTCCTTTTTAAATGGACAGTTCTTTAGTTCTAACTGCTTAATAAATACATTTTTTCCAGTATAACGTAGGCTGATTTACATGTCCTTTTTAAGTACTTAGGCATATCATTTTCTTATGTTTTTCTGTACCTTCCTAGTTAGTGGAAACATTGTTTGTTCTTGGAGTGTGCTTTGTCTTCCTTTTCAAGAAGATCATCAAAGTTACTAGTTTGCAGCTTCCAAAAAGAAAGAGCCTTCTAATCCCTAGTTCAGAGGCTAACCTTTATTAGTGCTCTCGTGGTTATAATGAGGACCCTGCTTCCTGCAGGGAGATTCTGGAATACTGAACAGATTATTCAACAAGTTCAGAGCAGATTCTGAAGTCCCTTATAAAACCTGCTTGTGAATACTGCTTTCTTTGCTTTGCTGTTTCTGGTTTCCATAGTATTCCTAATTATATAAATCATGTGGAACATGGGAGCTGTTTTCCATCCAGTATCAATTCTGATACTGCTTATGCTGTGGTATAATTTTAATTATTTTTCTAGGCTGTATTTTTTTCCTAAAATTCTTATGGAGAGTATAAACTTTGAAAAATGTAGAATTTTTGTTGTTAGAAGATCTAGTAAGTGCTTTTTTTGGAATCCCTTGGGCTGACATAAAGAATCCGAAAGTTATTTTGTGACAAGCATAGATAGAGAATCTGATAACATTTTCTCATGTTTAAATTCAAGATTAACTCTAGGGTGTAAATCATTCAAGTTTATCACCTACTGCTGGATTTATTAAACTTTATTTCGATTTACTACCTATTTATATAGTGCCTTTCAATGTTCCAGAGTGTATCAGGTTCAATGAGTATATCAACTAAAGGTGTGTAAATTAAAATCTAACACATAGTAATATATGAATGTGTAGCAATAAACTGAAAGCACTGATGATTCTTAAGCTAGGTTTCCTTTGAAAAAATTAATCAAGATTGATTTATATTATACATTTAAAAGGTTGAAGAGTTATAATTCTGATATAAGCTTATTTCTCTTTCAATTTTTATTCCTTTATATGTGATCTTTTTTTTAAAAGATTGAGGTGTTATGATAAGACTTATAGAGAAGAGCAATTACTCTAAGAGAGTAAAAAATGGGGTTGATAGATGAATTTCAGGAATTAGTTTCTCAAGCTAGATGAGTGAATTTTATGCACACATCTAAGAAGTGTTTCAATAGTCATTGGCTCACAATTTCCTCTTAACTTTATTTATACTCTATTAGTAGAAAAATCTTGAACCTTGTATTCAACACTCTCCTTAGTGTTGAATATAGTAGACACTCTTTAAATTATGCTTTGGTAGAGAGTTGTGGAACTTAATGTCATAAAATGCACAACTTTTTTACTAAGAGCAAAATTTAGCAGAATACCAGTAGCAAAGGCCATTTGCATAACTCAGCCTCACAGCAGCTCAGCTGAACCTAATTGTAATTCAATTTTCAGATTGCTATGCTAGGCCTCTCTGCATAAAATATGCAACATATAACATAACTAACAGCATGACCTATTTTCTTTGCTGGTGATCTATTTAATTCCTTTTTCTAGCAGAAATATGTATCAGAATAAGGTAGCCAACACATATAGGTCCCAACACATGTAGTTATTTTGTATGTTTAAGTTTGTTTCACATGTGTATGCTTAAATAATGACCAGGTAAAGAAAAATATCATTTCGTTTTTCTGGATTCCCAAGTGTGCCATTTTTATTTCTTGATTTCTGGCTTTTCAGAGGAAAATTAAATCTTGAAAAATGTTAGCTAGCTGCCATGTTATTATTGGACTATTTTAGACTAGAAAGACTTTATAAGCTAATCATGTGAAAAAGTATATAAACATGTTTGTCAGCTCCTTATGGATTTGGCAGTACAGATTCATAAGTAAATATCTTTTATCTGTTTACAAAATGCATGCTGGAATAGCATTCCTAAATCCTTCACTGGTTTATATTCCAGAAACTGAAAAAAGAAAGGCATGATAAAATGGTTGCTTAAGATTCTCACCCCTGTTTTTAAACAGTCTTGCTGTCCTGTTTTATGAGTTACTTAAGGAATGCAACAAAAATCCTCAAATAGGTTGGCTTATAAAGGTGTGGATTATATTTTATGAATAATTTCCAGATGTGATGTTTTAGGTATATAGACTCCTCTCCAAGAAGCTATATACAGAAACAACATGGATCTTACAATTTTATCAGGACAATGCAAGTAGATTTCAGCAAGGTTGGTTCCAACTCATCTGTGATAAATGAGAAGATAAGGCAATCAGTGCACACCATGACACTCTGTGCAGCTAGTTAGGCACACTTCAGAACTATTCAGGTGTGCTCACAAAGCTTATGAGTCTTGCTTGGGGGGTGTCTCAATATAAATACATCCTTCATGGTGGCCACTAGTAATGCAGGAATTGCCTCTCTAAGACTTAACCCAGGTCAGATATAAATAATAGATGTTAAGAGTTAGCTCTGGTATTGGGGCTGTGTTCCAGGCAGTGTATTACAGTTGGGTCAAAAGAATTTTTTTTCCCTTCTTTTCTTGAGTAGTTCCTCTGCTTGAAAAATGCCTGCAAAATTCCATCACACCTTTGCGGTGACCACTTTGGGTCTCTAAGGGAGAAGGTTTCAGCCCCTCAGGAGCTAAGATGTACATCCAAGGAGTTCTTTTGGCCCTGTACCAACGATTAAAGTCTGCAAAAAAGTATTATAAACAGGTGAGTCATCCCTTTTTAAAAATTGCTTTATTATATGTTTTAAAAATTTACTTGGTTGTATTGAGGCAGTGATTGGCATTGTGTCATAAAAGAACTATGACATGTATTTTGTGAGCTCAGTGCCCATTAGGGAGCCAAAAATACTGCTTCTGTAATCTCAAAGCAAACAATAATGGAGCTAATTGTATCTGTCTTTTGGTATAAGATGTCATATGTCTCATCTTTTCTTGCAGCACATACTGGGCAAAGTGAAGTCAACTTTTTATGTGAAAATTCTATAGATGATTACTTTAAATATGAAAATAAATAGCTCCTAAGTCATTTGAAGGTTTAAATGTTTAGCCTTCTATCTTTTTTCTAGTATAAAATCAGATTTATGGAGACTAGAATAAACAAGTCACATTCTGAAAAATGAAATCGTGAATCAACTTCATGTCAAGAGTAACTTAACTTCATTTAACCTTATTTAACTTGTCTGTTTCAGGAGTCATAAGTATAGAAACATAATTAGTTAATTTGAGTCAGGTTAAATTGGATTTTGTCCTTTAATTTCTGTGTATTCATTTCATATTTGTATGTGTGTGTGCAAAGGCTGATATTTTTATAACCATGTATTAGGACTTTTGATTTATCTTAAAGTAGAATTCACATTGTAAAGCAGAATAACTGATGTCATTTATAACATCAAAATGGAATTGGCACATTAAAAAAAATCCTTTTTGTACTTGGTTTTAAGAATTGAAACACATATTTTTACCAAGTTAAATAAGGACTAGGTTTACATTTTGAATTGGGAGATTCCAGTTTAGAATTGGGCTCATTATCTGAGACCGCAGACTGCTGAAAAATGAATATTGCGAAAGCCTCATGCTATTATTCTCTGCTTGCAGGGAGAAAGGGGAGGTGGGAATGGGAAGTCAGTCTTAGTGTTCACACAGCACCTCCTGCTGTCTAGTTTGGAAAAGAACAACTTGTATGACTGAAAGAAAGGGTACTAAGGTATCTCAGACCCAGCAAAAAACATCTTCCGATGAAACTTTTGTTTCCAGAATGTGTTTGGTTTGCCTTGTTAATTTCAGCATATCCAGAAACAGAATTAATAATAAGGCTATTCATAATAATACAATGAAAGAAATAAAAATCCAAACTAATGTTCTTTATTAAGCCACTATATATAAAAACCTAGTATAAAATATTTTATTGCATTTAGGTTAAATTATTTTGGTTAAAATATTATTTAAGTTTTAAGATATCATGATATTGTAAGATGATCATGATGAATTGCACTACAATAATTTATTTCGAATTATGTGGTTTGATTCCAGTTACTGAAATTTAAAATTATCTAATATTAGAAGAAATAATGAGACAATTCTCCAATTCAAGAAAAGCACTGTTTAAATCAAATCTAATGGCAAACTTAAACATTTTCTAAGTTTGGGTGTTAGAAATAAGAAACATCCCAGAAAGTAATGCCATTTTTTTCTTCTGCTCTCTTAAACATGTAAAATTTAAATAAGTATAAATTGCTATACTAGATTTCAAAGAGCTCTGCTGTGTTGTAAGACAAAAATGCTTTCAGAATAAAACTTTATGACTCAAAATTGATGAAAAATTTATTGAATATTAAATTATGAACAAAATGTAACATTTTAGTGTCTCTGTAATTGTCTGTTTGGCCATTCTAATGATTTCAACATTAGGTGAAATTTAAGACTATTTTGAAACCCATACTCTTTGCCATTTCTACTAAAGCTTTTTTCTTCCATAAGCTGTAATAATTCAAAGCTTTACATTCGTTTTAATATAATGCTTGTTTTATTTTAAAATACAAAAATGAAGAAAAATAAGTAGAAATTTGCTCATTATGCATTTCCATGTAAATTTCTGTTTCTTTAGATGTGCTCTATTTTACGTATGCTTGAGGTTTTCTTCTTTGGTAATGTTTAACCAAGACTTAATTTAAATTATTTGAATTTTAGAAAAGTCACTGTAGTAGTACCCTTATCAGACCATCACTGGTTAGATGTTAAGCCTGACAATATCTTTATTTGTGAGTGAGATTTCTTAACAAATATCCTCTTTAAGCATTAATGAACTTTGTTTGAACTGCACTTACTTCATTTGACCTTTGAAATAGTCTTTTCTATTTAGTTTTTTATAAGACTGTGTTAAAGAATCTTTAGATAGGTGAAATGGAGGTAGATGATTTCCTATTTTTTTAACAAATTAAAGTTTATAAATTATATGATTAGATTAGTTCTTGATATTATCTCCATTTATTTTACTTTTTATATCACATATAAAAACAACAATATTGTCTTGCTGTCTTTTGAAATACAGGGTTTAAATATTGTTATTCCCAAAGGAAATTTCTTTTAAATAAATTGCGATAATATAGCTTTAAAAGAAAAGTCAGGGCCACTGATTTTATGTTTACGAACTTATTCATTTTTCAATTTTTAACTTCAGCTTGACTATTATAGCATGCAACTGAATTAAGCACACTACATTAGGGTGGTCTTAAATATGTACTGATTCGTGTGTATTAAAATGAGATATTATGTTTAGAACAGCATAAAGTCACTTAGTCTTACATTTATCACATTCATTTCCTTAAAAGTGGAAACATCTTAGAAATTGCTTGGAGCTAAGCAGAATCTATTTAATTGGTAATCTTTGCAATTGCATAAATGCCTTCCTATGAAATGTAGTTAACACTTTCAGTGACAGGGCCTGTTCCATCTCATTAGCATTCTTGTTATGTAGTGGTGCTGTTGGTGGGGGTGTTGAAGTAGGAATGCCATTGTGTTGAGTTCTAGTGTTTGGGGACAAACACTGCTGTGGAAGGAACGTGTGAAAAGGCCACAGTCCTGTCAGTGAATGAGGAAGGCTGTGCTTTCTGTGTGCTTCAAGCAGGGAAGCTGTCATTCATAGGCCTAACACAGCTAAGCAGAGGCCAAAACACAAGACTGCACTACCTTTTAAAATGATATTAGTGATTTTTAAACATGATCTTCTTTATTTATGATCCTACATAGAGCTTTTAGTTTCTGTCAGTAAACAAAATATGGCAGTCTGTTCAGAAACACTGTAAAATTGCATAAACGTGCATGGAACTGTGCCAGGCAGCTATACAAATAATGATTCAGAATGGCTGATGGGCAGTGTTAATTACAGACGTGATTTTTTGGGAAACACTCATTTCTGAAAATGTCTTCCCAAGTTAGATACTCCTTTGAATTTTCCCCCCAACCAATAAAATTCCTGGAGACTTTTACATAAGAATGCATAGCATTTTTTTTAAACAAAATTTTTGAAAGCATCATAAACTTTCAGTTTTAATCATTTAAAGCTGTTCATATTATGGCCTAACTGTTGTTCTAAATTGCATAGTTATTTTTGAAATTTAGAGAGAAAAAAGGGAAATGAGCATCTAACTATAATAATAAGAAAAGCACCATCTTAATTAGGAAGAGTCATAGTCCCTGAATTCGTTAAGACATGAAAAAAATCCATCTGTCGATTTAAGAAATTTTAAGGAATTTTTAGTTCTACTAGTTTTTAGCACTTTGGAAGAAAATGACTAAATTTGAGATTAAATTTTAGTTGATTTGATTACTGAAAGAAAAATAAAAGTATTCTCTAATATTTCTTAAATTCTTGGAGTATTTTCTGAACTTTGGCAGTATATTGAAAAACACTGCAATTTCTATTTATGTGTAAAGCTGCAGGAAAATGTTTTATTTCTGTAATTTTAATTTGGAAATGTGTATTTGAGTTATTTGTAATAAATCATTACTTAATAACGTTTACTGAGGACTATATAATTTTTGGCCGGAGTGATTTAAATTTTTTTGCATGTATGTGGTCTCTTTTGTTTATTAATTTAAGCACGTAACTTTTTGGATGCTGTTATATGCTCTATGTAAAAGTTCTATATTTGGTGCATTATGTTTAGCAATCTCAGGTACTGAATTTCTTTTTCAAAAATTAGGTTTTACTTTTTAAGTTGGAACAATATCGCAGACTATATAATTTTTGGCCTGAGTAATTTAAATTTTTTTGGATATATGTGGTCTCTTTTGTTTATTAGTTTAAGCAAGGTGACTTTTTGGATGCTGTTATATGCTGTATGTAAAAGTTCCGTATTTGGTGTATTATGTTTAGCAATCTCAGGTACTGAATTTCTATTTCAAAAATTAGATTTTACTTTTTAAATTGGAACAATATTGCAGATTTATTTTATGGGCATATTATTTGATGAGGAAATAACCATCTAACTTTAGTATATATTGTTTTTGCAATTTAAAATTGAAATGTATTTTGTTAACATGTAAATCTAAGCTCTACCAAAGCACTTAGATTTTGTTTAAAAAATTGTGTAAGTTAATGTTGGCTCACTTTATCCACACTTTCAATAAGTTTGGTAATTAGGTATCAAACAACAATATAATATTATTCTGTCCAGAATTGATTCAGCTCAAAATGTGCTTGAATTATATTTAGTACTGACAAAATTTGTTTATTGCATAAAGTATTTTAAAAGGAATCTTAGTATTTTAATTTTTCAAAAAAGAAGTGCTTAAAGTTTGTCTTTTCAGATCCTATGTCAATTACAATAACTTATTGGTTCTACATTATTGAAGGAATAACTATATTTCATTTACTGTATATACTTTAAGAATTGAGCTGTTTCCTTGACTTAGCCTTTCTGGGACAACACTTAAAATATTTTAAATTTTAGCAAACTTCTTAATATCCTTTGAAACCTTAAAAGAAATTTATAATATGTAAACATAATATACTATTAAAAACATGAAAATAGTGTGACAGTCATTTCAAGATGAAAACAACTTGTGAAGGTTCTGATGAGTAATTTTTTAGAATATTAGGTTGTTTGTAGATTTGAGTGATTGTTGATTTTTTTTTCCCTGAAACTAAGCTGCATTTTAGTTACTTGAAGTATTTTAAGAACTTTAAACTTGTGTCTCTTTCTA